CTTCGAGTGTGATGACACTCGAAGGGCATTTGTTTCTTTTTCAAATATATTTAACGGCTGGTTAATGGTAGGTACTAGATTGACACGTTTTGAAGGTTTGGGCACTGAATTGTTGCATTTTAAAGTTTGGGGACCAAAGTGGCACTAGATCAAAAGTATAGGATACTAATCGAGAATTTTCCCTATCAAAAAAGCAAAAAAATAGAAAAAGAAATGGACACCAATGGGATAGAGGATGTTATAAGCCCTTGCCCTCATAAAAAGAAAAAAAAAAAGATAAAAATGAGAGAGTAAATATGTTTGTGGTACCAATTAGAATTACCAACTTCATATTAACTGATCAATGATTAGTTGAACGTGATGGCTATTGGATGGACTGTGTAACCAATCATAATGTTCTATGCCAATAATAAATTCATCCACTCCCACTATAAATAGTGCAGGCCCCATGTATTTTATTATCGATGTAGAACATTATCATTAATTTCATATCTCGCTGGACAAACATTCGCAACGTCGGACAACTATAGATAAGTCATCACAAAGCAAAAAACTTAGTCTGTGTTTGGTTGCAATGCAAATTTATTTGTAGTGTGTAGGTGGGGTAAGGCTAGATTGGGTGATGGTCTCTTTGAAGGATAGAGAAAGACCGAGAATTAGAGCGAGACTAGATCTTGGGCTAAGGTGTTAGGTTTGAATGGTAGAGTCGGGAGTCCAAGGCAAATAGTGCTTGAGTGCCGAATAATTTTCAATACGAGGAGGATCTCTATTTATGAAGGAGATTTCGAGATCGTAAAAGGTAGGAGATAAAGGTGCTCGCCTCCTATGAGGAAAGGGGATATTGTGCTGGCTGTCAATCATTAAGTGCACCACTGAGTATTCGCCACGTGTCTCGTGGGGGATCTTTCGGAGGATCTCTATTTATAAAGGAGATCCCGAGATCGTAAAAGGTAGGAGATAAAGGTGCTTGCCTCCTATCAGGAAAGGATAGAGAAAGACCGAGAATTAGAGCGAGACTGGATCTTGGGCTAAGGTGTTAGGTTTGAATGGTAGAGTCGGGAGTCCAAGGCAAAGAGTGCTTGAGTGCCGAATGATTTTCAATACGAGGAGGATCTCTATTTATGGAGGAGATCCCGAGATTGTAAAAGGTAGGAGATAAAGGTGTTCGCCTCCTATCAGGAAAGGGGATATTGTGCTGGCTGTCAATCATTAAGTGCACCACTGAGTATTCGCCACGTGTCTCGTGGGGGATCTTTCTGATGATCGACTTTCCTTTCACTCAAGAGTCATCATTACTCATGTGTGCTACCACCTCTCGTGTGCATTGCTTAGTTGACGTGGCGCTAGTGACGTCACCACTTGGCGGGCGACGTCTTGTTAGCCCTATGTGGCATCTTGCCGCGTTCCTTAATGGGCCATGGGTTAATCGCAAGTCTGAGCATGTGCGGGTCTCGCCGCGGGTTCAGCCCAAGTTCCCTTGGCTCGGGATGCGAGTGGGCTTGTTGAGAGCGTGCGATGAACCGCAGGTTTATCGTGGTTCCGCGATGCATGCTGTGGGTTCATCGTAGGCCTATGATGCATCACGGATTCATTGTAGAAAGAAAGTTGATTGTAAGCCATTCACATGCATCCACGTTGTACTATATACCTACACAATGATGCAAAATCATGGTAGTGCAAATGATTTTGGTGCAAGTTATGATTTATTTTTTTTCAAAAATTATCTTATTTTGTTTGGTTGGTATACAAATGAAGTAAAATAAGACATGAAACAGAATAAAGTAAAGGGTAAAATACAAAAATCTCCCCTGAAGTTACCAACAATCATAAAAACCTCCCCTGGAGTTTCACTTTAGCAAAAATCTCCCCTATATTTTAAATAATTTGACAAAAACATCCCACGTTAAACCGGTGAATCAAATTTTCAAAATACCTATTTTACTCTTTTACAAATTAGTTTGCATCTATTTTTATTGATATCGCCACATGACCGCTCGTTCTCCTCATTTGTCGATGACACTTCTATCATCACCATCGAAACAAGTGCCCCCTTCACCAGCCACAAGATCGATGCACTCTCCTGCATCGTTGAAACCACCCAAAAATAACTCCTCGGTTTTTTCAGAGACATGGCTGTCATGCGCCGTATGGAGATCGCTGTGGACTCGCTCTACAAGGCTAAGCTCATCCGCGGTTTCTATCATCTCTATGGCAGCCAAGAAGTTGTCTCTATTGGCATGGAAGCTGCCATCACGAAGAAGGACTGCATCATCAATGCCGACCAAGATCACTATGTTCTCCTCGATGAGGGTGAGACCCTTCTTGAGTCCTTTGCTGGACTGATGGACCATCAAGCTGGTTGCTCTAATGGAAAGGGAGGCTCCATACATTTCTACAAGGACCCTGGCTTCTTTGGTGGGCATGGAATTGTTGGTGCAGAAGTACTCCAAAGGTAATACTGTCACGTTCGCTATGTATGGTGATGGTGCGGCCAATTAAGGTCAGTTGTTCAAAGCACTCAATATGGCAGCTCTTTTGGACTTGCCTACAATTTTGATTTGTAAGAACAACCACCGTAAGTGAATGAGATAAAGAAGTAATACAATTTTACCTCGGTTGAAACTTGAAACTTTTTCTTTTGTTGGTGGTTCTCATGCCGGTGGTGGTTACTAACCTCCTCCCTTTGAGAATCCACAACACATCATCAACACGAAGATCATTGTCAAACGAAGCTTGCAGTTCGTGCTAGCAAACTGGGCAAGAATTGTGAATTTGCAACCAAGGAACAAAGTAGTCGCAATGGTAAATATGCTTACACGTCATCTCCCTAACTTCTTCACCAATCTTAAACTCCTTACAAACCGGACAATGCGAATCATCCTTCAAATGGCTCTCTGTGATTTTCACTCTCAGCATGACATCAATGGCTGAAGTAGGTGCTAGAGGTAGACCTTGTTGGTCATTATGGGTCACTTCCTCAATCAGCTTATTTAGCCCTGGCCCAACAAAGTAAACTCCAAGGTCAGTAGCCCAGGGCAACAGATTTTTTGGTGGGGACATGGTTCCGATCGAACAAGGACAGTTAGTGGGTCGGACTATAATCAAACATCTGGGCTGGTCCCAAAGTTCAGCCTCCGGTTCCAAGCGAAATCTCCCATCGAAACCATGAACATGCCAAC